AATTAGTTTTGAACTTTAATTATAAAAACCCAAACTTTAATAAGGAAAGCACAAGAATATATGAAATTTTAGAAAGAAATTTTATACCAATTATTGCACATAGATTAAAAGAGTTAGATATTATGTTCATGCATCAATTAATAGACAAAAAAGAAAACAAAATGATTACATGGTAGCAATTAAGTTTCCTAAAAAGAGGCAATACCAAAGGTAGACTAGTGAAGTAGTTCAAAGCTCTAGAAATGAAAATGATAGAAGAGCCAAATTGCAGAATAGTAAAGCCAGAATTTAGAACTGCAGCTCCAAACAAAAAAAGACTTAAAGTACAAGTAGAAGAATTATCAGATGATGCAAGACGAAAAGATTGGATAGTTATGAACAAAACACTGTCCTATAAGGAAAAAGAAGTATTAGTAGGAAAAATAGTAGCTAAAACACCTAAATCAGTACAAGTCGAATACTGGAAAGCAACTTACCAACCAGAAAGACGAAAAACAGTATTAGAAAAATGTAGAGGCTGCAAATATAAAAACAACAGTATTGATGATAGTTGTGAAAGAAAATACAAAAAAACAAGAAATCTATGGAACAATTACAAAATACACAAATAGAAAAGATGGATGGCAACTAGAAATTAATACAAATATGTTAGATTTTATTGTAAAAAGAAAAGATTACAAGATCTCAAGCTCTGAAAGATATTTAAAAGAGATTTTTATAGAAAGCAGGGACATTGAAAATTAAAAAACAAAAAATTAGTAATAGTATCAAAGAATTATTAGTAGAAAAACATAAACGTATTAAGAAGAATAATATCAAGCAAGAGGAGTTGATCTTTTATACAGACGAATTATTAATAAAAGCAAAAAAAGAAAATCAAGATCCAGACTCTATAAGAGCTGGTTGGGTGCAAGTGAACAATAAAGAAGAGTATGTAATAAATGAAGGTGCCATTGGGGCTAGAGGATGGTCATTTTCAACAAAGACAGAGCTGCTAGCTATCTGATGTGTAGTTACTATAGTACCAAGCAAAAGCAAAATCAAAATATATACAGATAGTACAGCAGCTATAGCAAGTATACATAGTAATACACAACATATAACAACAAAAAAAAGAATGAAAAAAAAATTATAACTTAGTAGTAAATATAAAAGATACAATATGAGCAAAGGAATTAGATTTAGAGTTAGTAAAAATAAAGGAATATAGTGACAATAGATGGAATAGCAGGGCAGATAGTATAACAAAAAAAGAAGCAAATATACAAGATAGAAATGAAATTATAGAAGAACTGATCTCAAGATTGAACATAACATTTTTTTGGAAAGACAAAGTAGTAGAAAATCCAACACGAGACTTTGTTAAAGAAGTTCTTAATATTAAAAACAATGCAGATTGAAGCTATACATCAGCGATTAAAAAACTAGAACCAGATAGAGAAAAGAATGAACATTGCTGAGTACTATTATAGAAAAAGATTAAGAATCAGAGTGGAACAAAATGCATCTTAACCAAAGAAATAAAAGACTAAGTACACTCTTTAAATGTATATAAGAAAAAATGCCCATACTTAAAGAATTAGTATTAAGATGACTAGACTTATATACTGATGCAAAGTGTATAGTTTGCAAAGAAGGAAAAAAAAAAGATCAAGACCATTTAGCAATATGCTTCTTTTATAAAAATTATTAGATAAAAGCAGAAACACTAGCAATAACAATTACATGAAGCACACTTTCAGAAGAGAAAAAAAAAAGTATCACTCAAATATATTTAAAAGAAGCAATATGGAGCCAAACAGAAGAAGAAAGTGCAAAGTAAAGAAAAAGCTTATTAAAGGTCTTTTATAAGAAGAATTAGTAAAGAGGGTACAGCATATCATAATCTCAGTACAAGAAACAAGAAATTTCCTAATGAGTATAGTAGATACCATATGGAATGAGTTCTATAAAAAAATTTGGAAAGAAAGATGCAATAAAGTATCTGAATAAGAAAAAAGCCAAGAAATCAGTACAAAAAAGAAAAGAAACAAAAATAAAGCAGTAGAACAACAAAACAAAATATCACACAAGGTGTTATTAAGATCAAGAGATGAAAACTTAAAAAAAATAAAAGATATAAAGAAAGAAAAGGAAGCAGAAAATGAAAACATAGAAGATATATGAAGGAATACAGTTAGAAAATTAATTAATAATAACAAGAGGCCTTACTGGAATGGCCTCAAAGGCTAGCCTAAATAGCCTTCTAGTAGTGAGCATTAACTCACTCTAGTATGGCAGATTGTCTCTGGACACTAATACAGTAGCCAGAGGATGTTAAACCTAAAAATTAAGCTAATATTTGTATAATTATATATGTAATTCTCTTAATAAAGGATTTTGGCAAGGCTGCCAAAAAGTTAAAAAAAAAAAAAAGTATTTTTTATATATCTTTTTATCTAGTAAGAATAATGAGAACTTGAGTAACATTATTTAATATTATACTTGGGTTAGTAGGAGTTTGAACAACATTAGATATCATTGTATTTGAGGTAATAAAAGTTCAAACAACATTAAATAATATTATGTTTGAAGTAACAAAGATTGTGCAAAAGCAACTGTAATATTGTTTATATCATTTGTCATTTGTGCTTAAAACACTTGAAGCTTGTGTTTAGACACTTAGATCTGTGCAAAGGTACTTGAAATTTGTGTAAAGATATTTGAAGTTTATACAAAAACACTTAAAGTTTGTGTTAAGGAGATTTGAAATTCTTGTGCTGCAATACTTAGCACAATAATTTGGTACTAGAATATATGAAATTTGTATAGAAGTATTTGAGGTTTGTAAAATGATAGTTATATTACAGATATTACTTAGTATCATGTGACTATACCACATTTCTAATAGCTAATTAAGATCCTTTTATCTATTTATAATATAATTATTGATTAACTAATAACTAATAATAAATATAATATATAAAATATAATAATAAATATATATATAACTATTAATACTATTATATAATATACTATGTTAAAATCTATTTTGTAACATTATATACTTTTAAAATTAGTTTTGGTACAACTAAAATTACAAGATTATAATTTTAAATATTTATACAACTTATTAGAATATGATTATTTTTTTAAAATTTTATCACAAATAAGATTTAAAATTTGAATCTACTGCTTAAACCACTATATTAGAATTACCATCTTCTATTACTTCTTATTATTATATGTTTAATTTATATTTCTGTTTTTATTATCTTGTTATTATTTTTTATAATTATTTTATTTTTTTAATCTCTGCTTTTTGTAAATCTAAGACCAGTTCATCAAATACCTATATATAATTAATTTTAATTACTGCTTCTTTACTTAACTATATATATTCTTGTTTTATTGGATGCAAATCTTTGTATATATTTTAAAGTTTTATTTTATTATCCAATTGAAAATTGACAATACTTTATAATTTGTTATTTTTAGATATTACTTACTATATGGTTAAAATCTCTCATCATAACTGTTTGCATCTGTCTTTTTCTTTTAAACATTATTTCTACTGTTTTTGTCAAATATTTCTTTTTATAGCTTTGTTATTTGGTGGCATATAAACTCCTATTACCAAATTTGTCAATGATCTAATGTAACTTTAAATCCATAACCTTTTGTTTCTCAATACATAATTTTCGGAGCAGAGTGAAGAAACTCAAGTCCAAACAATAGATAAAGATATGGGTTCCAGGAAGTTAAAATAAGATAAAAAGTTATTTACAGATTTCAAATATTCAAATCAATCGTATTAGTTATTTAGTGGTGTATGATGTGTATTATAAATTTAAGGTTTAAACGCAGCACTTGATTTATTGGTATATGACCTATTATACATTTAATAAATTCAGAAATTTAAGTTTAAACGCAGCACTTATTTACAAGAAATAATAACATTTGAGATACGATTTTATGTCCATCTTTTAATTAATTTGTTCTCATAATCCGGCTTTTAAGAATCTTTATAATTAAATGTCACTTTTAAAAATCAAGATTGTTTAATTTATTTTCTTATAGCCGGTTTACAAGCCGCTTTGAAAATTAAGACATTAAGGAGAACTAATTACTTAATCTTTTGTGATCTATTATGCGAGAGAATACTTTACGTCACTAATAATGATATAATTACATTTTTATTTTACATTCTTATAGAGCATATAGATAAGTATACAATAGTTATACATTTACAATAAAAAAATTTCACTAACACACTACGTATAAATTAATAAATCTACTAAGCAACTTTGAAAGTTCGTTTACTAATATAAAGCGGTGTTCCGGAACCCAACGGATCCCGTTTTCCTAGTATATACAAATTTATAAAATCATTTTTAGGAAAACAAAAGAGTGAAGATAAAGAAGTATAGGATTTTCAAATAAACCTGGAGATAAATTTCCGTATTATTAGAACGAAAAAAAATTTTATAAAGTAACAGATTTTACTTGCTCGTTTTTCTTAAGCTTTACAACTTGAAATTTATAAAAAAATATACATATAAAAATAATAATCACAAAGATAATTAATATAGATATGAGGTATGCGAAACATCTAATCAAAATGAATTAAAACCTATATACCTTACTGGAAATCAACTTATTATAAATCTTAAGTTAAACGAAAGCCTAAATCTGAAACTTATCGGTACTATAAGAATATAATTAAACTTGAGGAAAATGAAACACGCTCAAGAATTGAACAAGATTCGATGGATTCACTTTCCTCAACATCGAGTTAAACAAAGATCTAAAACGAAAATGAAACCCTATGAGATCCTCCGGAATAAATTTAAACTTGAAACGTGCTTTAGTATTAAACAAAAAAAACAAGACTCAATGGATCCACCCCTCAACAACGAGTTAAACAAAGATCTAAAACGAAAATGAAACCCTATGAGATCCTCCAGAATAAATTTAAACTTGAAACGTGCTTTAGTATTAAACAAAAAAAACAAGACTCAATGGATCCACCCCCTCAACCTTTAAGTGTATTGCCCAATATTGAACAAAAGCACATTGATCAAAAACAAGAAGACATGTTCAGTATTGAGCAAGAATACTTTGAGCAAGGAGAAGAAGACATGAATCAATTCAATCTCTCAGCGGGCATAGAAGAAATTGACTCACCATGGGCAAAACATCCTCAAGAATTGTTAGCCACTGAACCAACGATATTTTATTTTGTACCAAATTCTATCGCTATGTATGATATAGGTATAAAGATCTCGGAATTATAATTATCTGTTGTCATGATTATTATTATAATTATCATTATTATCCTTATCATTATTATTGGAATTACACTCATGACACGTACGTACTTGCATACCTGTATACAGACTTTATACCAAACGCCGGTTTTGTTAATCCTCACATGTATTTTGGTATTGTTCATTATTTATTTATAAATTATAGACTTTTATTCTCACATATATATTTATTAATGTCTTCATCATAATACTTATTTACAATATTGCAATAGACATAAACTATGAAGACTTTCAACAGTATATACCAGAAGAAAAAGCTTAGAACGAATGAATTCGATTGATATCACATGAGTAAGCATTTAAGATTATCCATTATATATAAATATGTGAAATACTAATCACAATCTTTACCATTTTATATTATAAATAGAACTAGAATTCCTGACAACATAAAAATTGAAGGTTATTCTAAATTTCGATTTCATTAGTAGCGAGAATTGGTTTTTTTTGGTTGTAAATTATTAAATTAGGATTTAGATCAGTAATATAGTGTAAAAACTAATATCGGTATTATATTATTTATTTTATTGTAAAAAGTTTTTTTTCGAAAAAAAGGTAAATTGAAAATAATTTACCACATAAATATAAATATTATACTATATCTTATAAATATGGGGTGAATCAGTAGAAATGCACCAAATTTTTTTTATTAATATTTGACCCAAAATAACTTAGCAAAATCTTTCTAAATAAATTTATTAAATTGATTAAGTTATTTTAAGTTATTTTTGATTAAAAAATTTTTTTTTAAAAAAAAATTTACTTACAAAATATTCGTGCGTTCATATTGACTTATCCCATATGTATATTAGAGCGTGTTTCATTTTCCTCAAATTTAATTATATTCTGATATTGCCGATAAATATCAGATTTAGGCTTTCGTTTAACTTGAGATTTATAAGAAGTTGATTTCCAGGAAGGTTTTATTTCATTTTGATTAGATGTTTCGCATACATTATTACAAAGTCCAGCATAATTGATGTTTCACATAGATTGTTACTAAGCCCTGCTTCTTTCTCCATAATTAAAAAGGCGATTGAAAGTTTTTAAGGATGATACGATATGAGGACTTGTCAAATTTTTTTAAGATAATGAATATTAAAGTATTAGTAACGAATAAATAATAATTTTAATTTGTTACAAGCTCATCTAGTGTCAATGCTAAAATTAATGACATATATACCATTTACCTTCATAATGTACGAGTAACTTACAAAATTAAAATGCTCAAATATATAAGGCATGAGTTGAGATGTTTAAGAATTTTATATATGGTATAACGATAACACAATAATTTTATAATAAAGCGTTCGGGAAATTTGTGTATCAATTGTCAAATTTGTCAACGATCTAATGTAACTTTAAATCCATAACATTTTGTTTCTTAATACATAATATATACGAATTTATAAAATCATTTAGGAAAGCAAAGGAGTGAAGACAAAGAAGTATAGAATTTCCAAATAAGCATGGAAATAAATTTCCGTATTATTAGAACAAAAAAAAGCTATAAAGTAACAGATTTTTCTTGCTCGTTTTTCTTGAGTTTATAACTTGAAATTTATTAAAAAATATACATATAAAAATAATAATCATAAATATAACTAATATACATATGTAGTAAGTCAATCGGAACGCACGAATACTTTCTAAGAAATTTTTTTTAAAAAAAATTTTGATCAAAAATAACTTAAAAATAGCTTAATCAAATTTAATAAGAATCTTTTAAATCAATTTTATAAACTTGTAAAATTTATTTAAAAATTTATACTAAATTTAATTAAGATTTTGCTAAGTTGTTTTTAATAAAAAAGATTTGGTGTGTTTCTACTGACTCACCACATATTTATAAGATATAGTATAATGTTTATATTTATTATTTTCCAAAAAACCCTTTTTACAATAAAATACATAATATAATACCGATATTAATTTTTACACTATATTACCGATCTAAATCCTAATGTAATAATTTACAACCAAAAAAACCCCCCAATTCTCGCTACTAATGAAACCGAAATTTAGAAGGACCTTCAATTTTTATGCTGCCAGGAATTCTAGTTCTACTTATAGTATAGGTTGGTGCTATCAACGTAAAAATGGTAAAGATTGTAATTATAATTAGTATTTCACATATTTATATATAATGGATAACCATAAATGCTTACTTAATGTGATATCAATCGATCCTCAACATCCATATTATCCATGACGTTGGAATTACCCTCTAATTCCATAAACTGACGACCTTCTATTACAATATTGTAACAAGTATTATGAATATGAAAATGTTATAAATATGTGTGCGAATGAAATTTTATAATTAGTAAATAAATAATGAATACCAGAATACGTGTCAAGAAGACCAAAGTCGGTGATTGATACTAAGCCTATATGCAGATATACACACACGTACGTGTCATGAATATAATTCAGATAATAATAATGACAACAGATGATAAAAAAGACAACAGATGATAAAAAAGGTCTTTATATATAATGCATACATGAACCGTGTGGCGATAAGAATTCAATATGATCATTGCCAATAAAATAATAATTGTTATAATATCCCTCTGAAAATGCTGGTTCAGCGAGTTGTCTTTGTTCAGGACTGGATAAAGTAGTCACTGTATTTTCTGCATTTGAGGGTTGAGAGGACGAATCCACTGTATCTTCTTTTCCTTGATCAATGTGCTCTTGCTCAGTATTGGACAATACAATTAAAGGTTGAGAGGGTGTATCAAATTTAACTACATTTTGATAGCTCCGATAAGGTTTAGGCTTTCGTTTAGCTTGAGGTTTAGAAGAAGTAAGTTGATTTTTAGGAAGGTATTTATGTTCTATCTCATTTTGATTAGATGTTTTACTAAGTCCTGCTTCTTTTTTCATAATTAAAAAGGCGATTGAAATTTTTTAAAGATGATACGATATGTAGGACTTGTCAAATTTTTTGAAGATGATACGATATGTAAATTTTTTAAGGATGAATAACTGTATAAAAGGATTTGTTAAATAATTTGATCATAGAGTCTACCCTCAAAATAGTAATGCTACCTTTGGTAATTACTTTTCAAGTGTTTGTTTTGACATTCATTTTTTAAAGGCAACAAATCTAAATTGTAACCGTCAAATTTAAACATTATAGAACGCGTACTGTTAAATTTTCTATACCCGATCCATAATTTGATTTGAATCACAACGAAACAGGTTCTTATACAAAAGCTAAACATAAAATATTATTTTTGCGTAGTAATTTAAACTTTCGATAAGACCAATCAAGATCTACATCTTAAACAAGTATATGGGTGAGTACACAGCAAAACCATGCTTAGAGTATATGTATTATATATACTCTAAGCATGGTTTTGCTGTGTACTCACCCATATGGAAATTTCTATTTTTGGAGCTTTATCATAAAGTTCATCATAAAGTTGGTGGTGGGCTGAGGATATCGTAAGCATTCCTAGTAATGTTAAGTAAACGTAATCACTAATCTATTTTTTAAAAATAAACAATAAAACTATAGAGTAATTGGTGTAATTTCTGAAACGTGAGGAAACGAATAATCAAAAAATGTAATCGTTGATCAGTCGCAAATTCTTAAAAAATCGGAAGCCGACCAAAAAACTTGATAATTTAATAAATATAGAAATAAATAGATCAGATTATAACTCATTTATTCGGTCAAGGATTTTAAGGTCAGCCTAAAAGCTTGAATTCCTTCGGAATCCTTTAGTCTGAGCTTGTATCTTCATAAATAAACCCGTAAGCATTGGATTAGATGAGAATTACCATAAAAGTGTTTTGTTTGGTGCCACATATTATAATTCTTCCGATTTCCAAATTAAGAAATCGAGTTCTGGAATAATCCACATGTCAATCCTTGTATTTATATATGAGTGCGTGAGAGTGAAAACCTGGAAACCGATTTAATGATTTACTATGATCGGTTTCCAGGTTTTCACTCTCATGCACTCATATACTTGCTGCTCAAATCCCAAACCATTATAGTTTGGGTTGGTCCGTCCCAAATCCCAAACTCAAGCCCAAACTAATATCAAAATTTTTATTAATATATAAGATGTTTACAATATAATATATTTACAAAATATCAAAATTATTTTATTGATTGAATTTTTTATAAAAGCAATTTGGGGGTTTTTTTTTGCTTTTGCTAAAGGTCCGTAGAATATATAAAGAGAATATGTAAAATCGCATAAGTTTATATAGATTCGTATAATTTTAAGAGGAAAATGCTCATGATGTTTGAGGTTATTATAATAAAGATATCGGCTGAAAAAGACTTTTTGATAATTATTGGTCTTGTAGTAAAATCGATCGTAGATTCTGCCTATACATGTGATATATTTTGTGATCTAGAATCTTCTGATCGACGTTTTCATGCCATAAATGGAGCAATTTGTACTGCCCTAATTTGCAGACTGTATTATCGTTATGGCATCAAAAACTGGTATTTCCTTTTTGGGGAGCCAGGTTCGATCACGTGACCAACAGTCAATCAAATAATAAAATTCCAATTTACATGGATCAGCCCCGCAAAAATAAAGAAAATGAGTGTCTAAACCTGTCTCAGCGCACTAATAAAAAATGTCGGGAAGGAAATTTTACCCATAATTACTGCCCTAACCCTAACATCCAACTAACCCTTATTCTAATTTAACTAAATAATCAAAAACATATAAACGAACCTGGCTTTAGCCATCCCCCTAAAGATGTATATCGTGGGAAACCCGTAGCGTGCGTGCGTACGCAAGTGCTACAAACTCCCCAAAAGATTTTCTTGTTCAGATAATATCGGGTATGAGATCTGTATGTTTAATCGTCGGTAACACAAATTTAATAAAGCAATTACCTTTATAATATTTACTACGCCATAACCTCTAACATTTGTGATACTCATGTGTCATTATGTTAGTATGTATGTACGTACGTACAAAAAACCAAATGGTTTTTTTTTTCTTTTTTTGAGTTATATAACGCAAAAATAAGTAAATCCCGGCTTAGAGAAGTAAGGTAACCAAAGTTACATTTTTGATAGGTTACACTTTTGATACATTTAATTAGACATATATTTTTTAGGAAACTTGGCATGACATATGACATGCTGTTTAGTAAATATCCATATACCAGCGTCTTACACTCCTGCATTATTAATGAATTCTCTTTTGTATAGCTCATATATAATTTTGTAATTATATAATTTTGTAATTACGATAGTGATAATCACAAATTTACACGGTTTAAAGTACTGTTACACTCGAAACTACCTCTTATAAGTTCGGTATAACGGTTTACTTTAGCAACGAATATATTAAGCAATTAATATAGCAATACCGATTTATGCTTAAGTAAAAGATAGGGTTTATTGCAGTTACGAAAGTCGTATAACAATTTATTATTTATCCAATAAAGTATTCGAGTTGTTCGTGTATAAAAACACGATTGTTCCCTTATTGTTGAGTTGTTCAATTTAGAACTGTCCTTTTACAAGAGCGATTTTCCTTCGCTTTTACATATATCATTTATATATCTAAGTAGGATTAGTAGTTATTATAAGAATTAATATTATGACTTGAACTATTTATTTTTTACTAGAATTAATTAGACCTATTAGATCTATTAGAATTGGTAGAATTCTTGGCATTAGTGTTACATTACTGTACATGGCACATGATATCAAATTACAGGGGTTAACAGTACTTTAAGAATGTAACGTTTTACTCATTTCATTAAAAGAAACATGAAATTTAATTCGTAAGAACGTTAATATTCACTACTGTATTTGCGCCTAAGTACATGTGCGTTATTTTAAAGTTTTCATTTTTTTGAAAATTGCTTTTGAAATTTCCATTTTTTTAAGAATTGCTTTTGAAATTTCCACTTTTTTAAGGATTGCATATTGACTCAAAACAACGTTTACTACCGCATCTGAAATCGAAATCAAAGGTTGTAATATGAGGCTTATCGACCGAGTCATGATAAACAACCTCAATAACAAACGCGATAACCGAAGAACTAATACGTGTCAATCAAATAAAAAGAAAAAATACATGTTATTTACTTGTTATCACCTTCTCTTATAAAAAAAAAAATAATGAAACTTGCCTTTATTGTAAACGGTCTCCTTAATTACTATAGAATATCATGGTAAAAAACCCCTTCAATTAGATAAAAAGTGCATTACAACGTCACACCTCTGACGAATTTCCCAATTTTTTTTACGTTACCACTATTCTTTTCGTCCATTTTTTAATTGTGTATTAAAATCTGTAGTAACAACATACTAAATATATGCAATACTACATATTTGTTACACTAAAATATATCATAGATTATTCGAAATAACACACATGTGCGTCCTGAAATAACGCAAATGTGCGCAAATACGATATACAAAATAATCCCAAATTTGAGTTATTTAGAAGATAAATGCTATGCTATAACCTAGTACGGTTATCTTGATAATTAAATAATGAATTTAAATTTATGTAAAGTTTTGCTTAATTATATAGTGTCACGGAGTGATTTAACGAATACAAGGGAAAATGGGTTAAGACAACTCGCCAGAGACATGACGTTGTGATTTGTCCGGAATAATTAATAAGGGAAGTTATCATCTTTCCTCGCACATAAGTGTTGTAGCACATAAGTGTTGTAATCAATCTTACCCAAGTTACGTCCTTTAAATAACTTCTAAAAGACTAATAAGAAGCTTAAACATGATTCACCTTTATTATTTTCTATGACACATTATTCTCAATGAACAAGCCTCACTAGCCATTCAAGCCTTCAAGGATTTACAATTAAGGTGCAGTTTATTTTAATTTTTTCGGAAATGTCACTTTTTGCTCACAACAATAGATCGAGATACTTGTATAAAGACTTATGGAAAATTGCCAATCTTTGGATAATTTATTTAGGCCAAAATTATCACAAAATCAAAATTTTAGCTTGCTATATTTTATCCTGTAAACCATGTTCATTAATTTATAGCTTTGTCATGATGTCAAGAGCATCGGTTCCGTAACCTCAAAGCCAATTGAATTGCAGTCATTAATTTGTCTAAAAACTGATTTACAAAAAAGTTTCATTAAAACCTTTTGAACTTTAATTGAATCAACGTATAGGGAGTTAGAAGGTATACCTATACTATACCAAAGAATTTTTTATTAAAAATTCTTATATTGTAATTTTGCGATTGACCAACTTGGAGATCATCAAACCAATACTTTATTGTAACTTGCAAAATTAAATAGTGACGTATAGTAACTTTATAATTATAAAATTTTAATAAAAAAAACAATAGTAAGCTTATTGCTAACATATAATAACTTTAAAACAAGTAGTATCAAAGTTGTTAACTTGCTTGTTTCGGTAAAATATGTTTTGTGATCCAAGCTATACTTCATCAATTTCATAAATATACTCGAAAATTTTAGATTTAATATGAAAAAATTTTAATTATTTTAAAACTTGAAAGAATTTGAATTCAAGTCTTTCCATGTCCTTGTCAAAGGATAACCTCAATCACGGTATTTGAAATTGACCAATCGGGTTACAAAAAAAACAAACAATTTGCCTTGACTCTTAGTTTCTATTAAAAAAGTATTTGGTGGAAAGTAATAGACTGCATGACAAAGCAACATAATATTTGAATATTTATTACCCTTTTTCTTAGTATATAGTAGATTATTATTTCATTATTATTTCTTAACAAGGCGCCTTTCTCATTTTTTGTTTTTTTTTTAAACTGTAAATTTAATAAGAAAATATGTATTTTATTAGTAGCATAATCATTATACTTAGCCATTAACTATTCATAATTCATTTTATATAAGTTTAGAAGGACTCTCGGTCCAAAATATAGG